TATATATATATATATATATATATATATATATATACATATATATATATATATATATATATATATATATATATATATATATATATATATTATTATTATTATTATTATTATTATTATTATTATTATAAATATATTTCAGACAACAGGCAGATACAATTTAGGTGCCAGGTCCAAAGTTTTTACAAGAAAAATATTTTTTTAAACTTTGATTAAGTGAATGTATGGAATTATTCACTAAGGAACAAGCCATCAACTTTTTACAAAAAGCATGTCTGTAGTTCGAGATAATTGTATGAAAATATGGTAATCTGTGCTCTAAAAGCACGAGAGATATACTATCATACTTGTTGTAGCCAAAAAAACATTTTACCGCATTTGTTGTAGCAATACTGAAGGCATGCCATTGTTTTATCATTATAATTTTGCCACAGAGGAGCACCATATAAACAAATGTAATATGATTTAAACAATTTAACCTTTACTCTGGTAGAGTATAAATGAAAGCAGCTAATTAAAATATTTGTACATGTGTAAAGACCCTTCATCTCCTTGGTTATATCAAGATCATCAGTTAGGTCATTTTTAATAATATGGCCAAGGTGTTTAAAAGATTTAACATATATATATATATATATATATATATATATATATATATATATTGCTCTGTATATATATATATATATATATATATATATATATATATATATATATATATATATATATATATATATATATATATATATATATATATATATATATATATATATATATATTGCTCTGTATATATATATATATATATATATATTGCTCTGTATATATATATATATATATATATATATATATATATATATATATATATATATACACACACACAGAGAGAGATTTTCTATAATTGCTCTGTTCTTTTAAGAACATTGAGCACTCTATTTTGTAAGATAAATTATAAAATGGCCAAAATGTAATATACTTTGATATATATTATAATAGCATATATCAAATTACATATTACATATATATATATATATATATATATATATATATATATATATATATATATATATATATATATATATATATATATATATAACTACTTTAGTTTTGCATTATAGATTTTCTATAATTGCTCTGTTCTTTTATATATATATAATATATATATAAAAGAACAGAGCAATTATAGAATATATATATATATATATATATATATATATATATATATATATATATATATATATATATATATATTCTTTGTCAAGATTTTAAAAGAGTTTTAACATCATTAGATGGATGTTCATTATTATTGCATTTTGGTGTAATAACATTAGATGTTAAAAAAACTTTTTATTCTTCAATATTCTTTTTAAATTGATCCTCACATAATAAAACAACCTCATTTTAAATGAACTTGTTTTATTTTGTGAGGTATTTAATTGCAGCTAAATTGATTTTACACATTTTAATTAATAATTAAAATGTGCAAAAAATGAAATGAGTTGGTATTCTTCTGCATAAAAATGATATTCATGAGATTTTAACTCAATATGGAGTCATGAATATAAAGTTGATATAAAAAAATAGATGTTTCTTATATGTTTCTAGATGTTTTCCATTCTCCCATCACAGTATTTTGTTTTTGTGAAGAATCTTTTCATTATACATATGAGCGTAATAAAATTTAGAGTATTCTTGGTGTTTAAAAGTTGGTTAATTCAACCATTTAATAACCTTCCTATGCCACAGCATTAATCAAACAAGTCTTGTTTGATTTATGCTCTGCCTAATAATGCTTGAGAATATGATTTTTATAATATCAGTTGTCAAAAAAATCTTTAAACAGTTTAATTTGCATGCTAGGACTTAGTTTGGTTAAAATATGTTCTATGAGGTAATTTATGATTGGGGTAAGCATCTTTTATCAGTTTATTGAATCTTTAGCAATAAAATTAACATCCAATGCCATCAGTTTTCCTAATATTTTATTGAGTCGAACAGATTAGCGGTCTTGCCCTTTTTTCTCAAAAGCTTAAATAATTTTAATTTGTAATGCATTCTTGCTGGTAGAAGTATATGGAGCTTCAGAAGTAATGTAAAATATTTGTTTCTTATAGTTGAAACTTTTTTTTGTGCTTTAATTGCAAATGTTTTACTTTAATCTCATTTAACTTTAATGATTTTTCTTTTAACTAAACTTTTACACAATATACACTTACACATACCAGAAAAAGTGAATGTTAGATGGATACAAAGTTGATTTAAGGTGAATACAAAGGGGACAAAATTAATGGTTATTACAGAAAACATTTACCTCATACTTTTTGACTCGTTTGACTAGTTTTTTAAAAGTTTTTCTTTTAAATAAAACTTTTATAAAAATAATGAAAGTTGAGTGAAAAATAAAAGAAATCTGCTTATTTAAAAAATAAAATTAAACAATTATATATATAAAACTGAAATCAATTATTTTTTCGATTGCATCTTGCTAATTAAAATCAGTTGCTTATTTTAGGATGATAAAGTCCAAGGATTGAAAATACAGTTTAATGTAAAAGATCCATCCTTGTTTTCTGGTTTGCTCAATGGAACTCCAACAGATTGCGTCTTTATCTATCAGCATGCTGTTTTGTGTGGGACTGAGTATCAAAAAGAACTTATTTCCAAAACTCACTCAGACGATTCTTTGATTAAAGTTGCTGTTTCAAAAATTAATTCACTGCCTTATTTGGAGGAAATATCACAATTGACCAATTGGGATGAAATATTTCAGAATAAATTGGGAAACTTAAAGGTGTTTATACAATCAAATTTTTCTTTTAAGGATGTTCAGTACTTATTTTTAGAGACTCAATCCGGAAAATTTGTAAAAATTTTAAAAGACTGTTCAATTGATCTATTTACAGAAGCATTGGCTTCTAGAGATCCTAAAAGAATATCTTTGTGTCTAACCTCTTTATTATGTTTAAATGGCCAAATTGATCATGCACCTTTGACTTTGCTCTCAAATAAAATGGAAATGTTTATGGAATCTTTTCAAACTTGTAGCAATACTAATCAAATTTTATTAGGCATCGTTTTAGAATGCATTCATTGGATTCCATTTCATATTCTCTGTTGTGTTGTTAGAAAGGTATTGTTGTTATTTTCATGTATTGTATTTTATTATTTATATAACACATTTGAAACTTTTTTTCATAAATTCTATTCTACTCTAATAGATGCCATTTATACCTAATATCAGAAGCTAAGGTTTCTTTTAAATTATATTATAAGTTTGTTTATTTTGTTTATAAATAGCATTTAAGTGGTTATTTTATTATTTATTATGACAGCGAATGTCATTGGCAGAAATAAAAAATTATTAGGACAAAAAAGCTGTCTTGTCAAGAAGCTCACTTGGCTCCCCATGTTTGTTTTACAGGAGCATTTATTTGTTAGCGTCTAAAATTATTTATCTGTTAACTCTAAAAAACCAAAATTTTAATTTGAAATCCATGATTAGCAGTTTACAGAGTTAAGAGGGCAGATTAGCATGTTACAGATTAGCAGTTTACAGGCATGATTAGCAGTTTACAGAATTAAGAGGGCAGATTTTGCTTAATTATTTATGTACTTATATATTTAACGGTATTTACATCCTCAAGGCCAATATGTTTAAAAAGGTTGTTTTTTTTTAAATTTGTTGCAACTCAATCTCAGCCCTATAACATTGCAACAGAAACTCAATGGACACAGGAAAAGTAACACAAAGAAACAGATTATATATAATCTTCTTTATGTTAGATATTTTTATCTCCATTATCTACAAAATAGTTTCTTTTTTATTAGATCTTTTTGACTCCCATTAGATATAATATAATTGATTGTTTCCCTTATCTTAGATATTTTTGTCTCCATTATCTACAATATTTGGCAGCCAAAAGGTGCCTCACTTACTCTTAAAAGTTTGTACTAATAACTCAACATTCAAAAGTAGAATTCATGCTCTTGGTTTTCAACTACATGTTGCTGAGTGGATTGAAGATTACAATAAACAGTTGAATAATATCCAAGTTGATGCATCAGATGTTTTAGGTATGATTTTAAAAATATAAGTTTTAATGTTTTAGCTTTTGTTTGTTTTTATGCTACAAAAAAAATATTTTTATGAAAAAGTTCAATAATTTTAAATTTACATTTTCATTTATTTTTAGTATGTATATATATAAATATATATATATATATATATATATATATATATATATATATATATATATATATATATATATATATATATATATATATATATATATATATATATATATATATAAACTCTTGCATGGTAGTCAGAAAGAGTTTCCCATAAACTGTAGTTTTAATGAGCGCATTAATAAACCAGACCAGAAAAAGTTTAAAAACTTAAATTTTTTTTTTTTTTCAAATGATAGACTGCCTGCCTAAACCAAACCCTCAGTCGGTGTAGTAGCACTCCCTTGTGAGTCAGGCTATTTGTCAGTCGTTGTAGCAGCACTCCCTTGCGAGTCAGGGTATTTGTCAGTCGATGTAGCAGCACTCCGTTGCGAGTCAAGCTATAAGATAGTCGATGTAGAAACACTCCCTTGTAGCAGCAGGCTATAAGATAGTCGATGTAGCAACATTTACGCATGTTTTAAAAATGTTTTTTAATAAAACAAATACAAAAACACCACTAATTAAAAAAAACTTTCTAGTCATTATTATTGCGGTTTTTTAAAAATTTTTTAAGAAACGATAAAATTTAATGTACTTCCGCATTAATTTAATTGCTTTGACATTTTGACGGCAATCAAATACAGCTTAAGAGACGAGGTAATTAAAATTGTAGTCGAAAGAGACATTTTTTACATTAAAAGACTCTTTCGACTACACTATAAAGATATATATATATATATATATATATATATATATATATATATATATATATATATATATATATATATATATATATATATATATCTATTATAGCATATTTATATGCGCAATTACTCACTTTTTTTGCTAGCCTAAATTAAGTGAGCGCTTTTAGAAAACAATGAGGGGAAACGAAGAATAATGAATGAAAATGTTGCTGACCCATACCAAACCCTCAGTCGATGTAGCAGCACTCCACTGCGAGTCAGGCTATTTGTCAGTCGATGTATGTACTGAAGCCCCCGGCAGCAGGCTATTTGACGTTAGGTGAGTATGACATCATCATGCTCACCTAACTCAGCAGTACAAGATATATATGTATGTAGATATATATGTATATATATATTGTTGTTTATTATTGTATTTGGTTGAGATACAAATCCTCTTGTTTACTTGAGAGTGATCAATATAAAATAATTTTTACAAAATAGATCAACATATATATATATATTTATATATATATATATATATATATATATATATATATATATATATATATATATATATATATATATATATATATATATATATATATATATATATATATATATATATATATATATATATATATATATATATATAAAGTATAGTTAAATAGAAATATGCAACTTTATAATGGAACTAAAAGTTTCATGCCTATCGGCAATCTTCCGCCATATATATTATACAAATCAAGAAAAAACTGTTAAAAAATACAAAAAACAAAAACAGCAGTAGAATGAGTTCCGACGTCAAAACAAAATGAATAAAAAAGAAGCATAGTTGTAAAACTGCTAATCGCCAGTGTCAAATTGGGCAAGAAGAAATTTGTTTTTATGCCGGCACTTAGATAATATTTTACTCTTTTTATTTAACAAGTTTGGGTGTTTGAAAAATAAAATTTCGTACGTTTCGTTTAAGCATAAGTTACATCGTTTTGTTACAGGGTTATAGGCATCGCACTGTTTAATTATTTTCCACCTAACAACCGGGTTTAAGTTTTCATCTTTTGATCTCCAAACCTCCTTTGATAATTCAGTGTAATTTTTATATTTGGGAATTTTAAAAGATTTTATGTGATTAGCATATCTAATTTTAAAAGATGTTTCGCTTATGCCAATGTAAAATTTATTGATGGTAGTTTGAATAAGATTGTTTGAGCATACATTAGCTTGATATACTATATTTTTTGTTAAGCATTGGTTTGATAAAGGGCAGGTGTTTTTTATCTATGCAATTCCAATTATTTTCAGCTGATTCTTTCTTGTTGTTTATAACATGGCGATTGTGGGCGTTTAAAACGAATTTCATATTAGGCATACAGCTATAACTTACTTTTAATGTGTTTCTGTTAAAAATTTTGTGCAACTTGTGATTTTTAGGGAAGTGCTTATCAATTAATGTTAAAAATATTTTTCCTATATTCGTGCTGACGTTTTTGCTAAAAGGCGGGTTGAACCAAATGATGTTACCTTTATGGTATAAAAACAAATTTCTTCTTGCCCAATTTGACACTGGCGATTAGCAGTTTTACAACTATGCTTCTTTTTTATTCATTTTGTTTTGACGTCGGAACTAATTCTACTGCTGTTTTTGTAATTTGTATTTTTTAACGGTTTTTTCTTGATTTGTATAATATATATGGCTGAAGATTGCCCATAGGCATGAAACTTTTAGTTCCATTATAAAGTTGTATATTTCTATTTAATTATACTTTATTTAGATATATATGTATGTATATATATATACATATATATATATAATATATATATATATATATATATATATATATATATATATATATATATATATATATATATATATATATATATATATATATATATATATGTATATACATGTACACTACCGACAAAAAGTTTGAGGCAGGTACTAAATTTTTTAAAATTGCTAAATAAATAAACTTTTTCTAATATGATTTGTACTTTAATGATAATGAATACAAAAACTAATAAACATTAAACATTTTTTTATTATAAATTCTTAATTATAATTGTTATTTTAATTAAATTTTTGATTCGTCAAAATATCCTCCTTTATTCTTTATTACAGCGGCACAAATCTTTGGCATTCTATTGATCAATTTACGTAGTATTTCGGGTTGTATTGCATTCCATTGTTCTTCCAACATGTTCCAAAGGCTTTCTCGAGAAGATGGTTGCGTTTCTCGCACTTTTCTGTCAAGTTCTTCCCATAACAACTCGATTGGATTGAGATCCGGCGATTGTGGTGGCCAATCCATGATTTTTAGTACTTCTTGTGTTTGGAGGTCTTCTAAATACGACTTACAAATTTTGCTAGTATGCTTTGGATCATTATCATGCATAAAAACATATTGATCCGGAAATAATCTCTCACCAGACGGCAGTACTTGTTGTTCCAAAATTTCTCTATAAATTTCTTTCGTCATTATTCCTTCAATTCTGTGGATCAATCCAACATTTTCTCCACCAAAACATCCCCAAACCATGACAGAGCCACCTCCATGTTTGACAGTCGGCACTAAACATTCTTCAGAATACCTTTCTCCAGCATATCTTCGGACGAAAACGCGTCGTTTTGAACCAAAAAGTTCGAATTTGGACTCGTCTGTCCAAAGCACGTTTTTCCATTGTTCCATTGACCAGTTTTCATGTCTTTTAGCCCAATTTAATCTTTTTATTTTGTTAACTGGCCTTAATAAGGGTTTACGAGCAGCTACACGTCCATGTAAGCCAACTTGCTTCAGCCGATTTTTGACAGTCGAAGTGCTAATTTTAATTTCGTTGAAATTATTGTAAACTGATCGGATTTTTTCGGCAGTATACCTTCTATTTGATAAGGAAATGTTTTTTATTTCCCTATCTTGTAGTTTGTTAGTCTTTTTAGGTTGTCCAGAGCGGTTTTTGCTTGTATGGACACCACTTTCATGGTATCGTTGTAGTGTCCTTTGCACACAACATCTTGAAATTTTCATTTTTTTTGCTATCTGAACTTGTGAATAGCCCTCTTCGTGGTAAACAAGTATTCTTTCTCTTTCTGCAATGGTTAATTCTTTTCTTCTAGCCATTATTTGGACTTTTAGTTCCAAAACAAAAAAATTCAAAATTTTGTTAATAAAATATAAACTTTCAATATGTTTTAATTACAAGGGAACAAAAGACCACTCACAATGACATTCAATCAAAGAAACACTAATCTAAGCTATCTGCGATCTTCTACTTGCACCAACAAGTACCCATGTTTGTTTTTTAAACAAATAAGAAATGTAGATTATGATGTATCAGCTATCCCTTGTTGATTAAAATATTATAAACAGTTCTAATCTACTAGTGATATATTAGAATCATAAATTAAAACATAAATACACTCATTGAAGTCGAAAAAATAAACAATTTAAGGGTATTTACATCTCGAAATCATAAATTTTTACCCTGCCTCAAACTTTTTGTCGGTAGTGTATATATATGTATATGTATATACATATTTATATACATATATGCATATATATATACAAACATATATACATATATATACATATATATATATATATATATATATATATATATATATATATATATATATATATATATATATATATATTGCAAAAGTCTTGCAAAAGTCTGCTTATATATATATACATATATATATATATATATATATATATATATATATATATATATATATATATATATATATATATATGTATATATATATATATATGAATATATATGTATATATATATATATATGTATATATATGTATATATATATGTATATATATATAAATAGGTGTATATATATATATATTATATTTATACTTCGGAATAAATTTTATACTTTGTAATTATGTTTCTTAGATGACACTATCAAGACCAATGATAAAAATCTTCAGATACAAAATACTGTTTCTGTTTTTCAGGTAAAGTGTTGAGGTTATACTTAAACAACAGTTTTAAATGTTTTTCTCTAGATTTGTTAAATTTAACTAAATTTTGCAAATCTAGAGAAATCTAGAACCTGCCTATATTTTCTAAATATATAAAAATAAATAAGAGATCTAGAAAATGTTTTAAAAAAAGCTAAAAAAAAAGTTTTGAAAAAGCTATTAATTGTATGTATTAAAAAAACACTCTTTAATTCTTTGTATTTTTTTTGATAAGGAAGTTACTGAAAAAGGTTATTGGTAATGATTTGAAGATTGTCTGAATTAGTCTCCATTTAGTTTTATTACTACCATCTTTGTTCAGTAATAATCACTTTTTCTTTAAATTTATTAACCATTTTTATTATTACCAGATTTTCTTTAAGTGTATTTAATACTCGCATGTTTTTCTTTTTCGATCAGATTTTTCTGCATTCATCTGCATTTATTATTTTTTTGCATAAATTAATTCTATTTGGAACCTAAGAGCTTACTAAAAGTAAAGGAGAGTGGTTTCCATCAAGTACAGTGTTGTTACTGCGGTTATTTAAAAAAAGTTTACAAAGAATTCAGGTGTGCTATATGAAAATAGCTTTTTAAAAAGAGTAGCATGCTAGACTTTATTAAAAGCTTCTGATAAAGTTATTGTAAAAAGCAATTTACCTCATCACAAAAATTTAAATACTTGTTAAATAGTTCTGGAGAAGACTTTTGTAAGACTATGACAGAAATGTACAGCAGGTTGTAGAAGTGTTTTTAATAAGAATTGATTTGAGCAATAAAGACCAGAATGCTATTGATCTCTAATAATCTACTATAGATAATACTTAACTTATCTCCTCAATATGTAAAACAATATGTTAACATACTTAACTTATCTCCTCAATATGTAAAAATCAGATTAAGAGTTCTTTAGTTCTTTTAATTTTACAATAAAATCTCCGTAACTATGACGAGTCTGTACAGTAACTATAACAAGTCTGTACACAGTAACTATGACGAGTCTGTACACAGTAACTATGACAAGTCTGTATACAGTAACTTTGACGAGTCTGTTTACAGTAACTATAATGAGTCTGTGTACAGTAATTACATCCACTTAATTGTTGAAGAATACAATCAGCTGCGGTCAAGTTGTCTAAAAAAGTTATTCTATGCATGGACTAACAAGGCATGTGACTGCATGTACTTCCTTTAACTGTCTGGTATATACATATTTTTACTATAACATATGTATCACCATTTGCTTACTCTTTTGACTTTTTACTTATCTTTATAGCATATATCTTTTATTTTATTTTTATTTATCTTTATAACATATAGCTTTTTCAGCAAAAGAAAAAAAAAGTGGAAAATAATAAAAAAAACAATTGCTGCCCTAGCCCAAAAGTCGATGTATTGGCACTCTTTTCCTGCAGCATGCTATAAGATAGTCATTGTATGTATTGAAGCCCCTGGCAGTGGTTATTACAGTATGATTTCACACTGCTTAAATAAATGTGCATTCGTAGTTGTTTCTGCCTGAAAAAGTATGATCTTTTTTATTTTTTGAAACAGGAAATATCTTTAGAGACAAGATTAAATGCTTAAATCATTATTTGATGGAGCTTGAAATAAAAAAAAAAAAAATAAAATGTAAAATGCTATAAATGAATAAAATGAAATGAATAAATGAATTTTTAGAAATTATTTTAATAATGATTATTATTTTTTTGTTTTAACATACATAAATGTACATATTTTTTAATTGATATTTTTTGTTTTAACATACATATATGTACTTATTTATTTATTCATATTTTGAAATATTTTTAACATATAGTTGTATAATTTCCATTACTTTATTAATATATATATTTTAATATAAATATAGAATTAATGTTCTTTAATTTTTATCTTTTTTAAATTTGTTTTATCCTAGGATGTTTCAACTGTTTCATTGAGTGTGGATTCTTTGGATTCGACTGTTATATCAAAAACAGGTCAAATGTTATGTATACTTAAACTCTATGACATCTTTTTAAAATGGAAAACCAAGCTATTTAGATAAAACTACTATTGTAACTTCCAATAAATAATTTTTATTCTTTTTTTTAATGCTTTATATCAGTTAAGTTTAAACAAGGTTTTATAAAATGGGCTTGGCAATAAGACTTAGGGGCTTGGGGATAAGCCTATTTTGTCTTCTTGCCTTGGCCATTATTATATTTTACAAATACAAAAGTTGTAATTATTTTTAATGGCAAATTAAAAAAAACAGATTTAAAAAAATAGCTAAAATTTTTTTTAAAAATCTTTATTATTTTAAAGTTTTAGATATGAATTTGATATTAGATTAAAATAAGTTTATTTTTTAATATTAACAGTAAATATTTGAGACATTTCCTAGTACATCAGTATTTATTATTCATCTTACATAATAAACATCTATTAATTATCTAATTTTTTTCTATACAAAACTATGAAGCTGTAAAAATATTTTTAAATAATTAATATATTGTAAAGGTCAAGAGGAAGTTTTAAATGAATGCGTCACAAGTGATATTCAAAATGACTATTGTCATAAAATTATTAATGATATACGTTGCAAACAGTTTGGAATTGGACTTGAGCTTGGAGAACAGGAGAAAAAACTATTTGAAATCCTCAGAGAAAGAGAAGGAAGATCATTACAGCGTCTTTCAAATGAGTTGTATTCAAATGATTCTCATTTTGTGTTAGAGTTAATCCAAAATGCTGACGATAACCAATATATTGAAAACAGCAATAATGAAAAGCCTACTGTAGCCTTTATAGTAGAGCATGATCAGATTATAATATTGAACAATGAAAAAGGTTTTTCTGAAAGTGATATCAAAGCTTTATGTGATGTTGGAAAAAGTACAAAAGGAATTCATCGTAAAGGTTACATAGGTAAATATTTTGTATTAGTGTTTAAAAATGGTATTATTAATATTGTAGTTCATATAAATTATTATATTGTACTTTTATATATATATATATATATATATATATATATATATATATATATATATATATATATATATATATATATATATATATATATATATATATATATATATATATATATATATATATATATATATATATATGGCTACATTTTTGACACAGAAAGATTTTTCTAATATTGTCATAATACTGGTAAAATAGATTGTCTAACAGGAAGAAAAAAGAAGTCAGAAGTGAATAAATGGCATAAAATAATATTATTATAATGATAATTATAAAACAATGGCATACCAATAAACTAAAATAAAATGTTTTTAAACAATATAGTAAAACACTGTTAAACAATATAGGAAAGTATTGTTTATAAATTTTATAAAATAAAACTTTTCTACTTCTAATTTGTTTTTATTATTGTTTTTTTATTAGTGTTTTTGTTTGTTATGCAATCTTAAAAAACAAGCACCTTTTTAATTGTAGAAAAAAGAAAAATAACTTTATCTATGTTATTGAATGGATTTAACATTTATCAAGTTTAGTATCAACTAGGTTGTTCTAGAAAATTGATTCAAAACTGTATTTCACATTGAAAAAAAGAATACCATTGATAATAAAATTTGAAAGCCTATGCTAAGGAAAACTTCAATCAATATGGATTGCTAAATTGTTAAGATTTTTAAAAAAATATATATATTTAACTTCTAATTAAACAAAAACTAAAATTTAACAAAGAAAAGTATGACATAGTCGTGTCAGCCCAATCATTTGTTGTCATTTTTTACAAAAAGTTGGTCTTCGAGGTTGTATAGCAAAGAAGAAGTCCCTTGTTTCAAAACAAAATGGACTAAATCGAATAAGGTTTGCAAAAATGTTTTTTTTGGAAAATGTTTTATCGAATGATGAATCCAAGTTTAACTGCTTCCAGTTTGATGGGAAAGTATATGTTAGGCCTCCTATGAAGCAAGAAAACAACTCTTTGTATACTTTTAAGACAATGAAACATGGTGGGTATAATATTAAAGTTTGGGAAGCTATGTCTTGGCATGGTATTGGTCCATTGGTCATAATTGATAGAAATTTATATCAATGCAAATACAAAGATCTGTTACATAATGTAATGGAGCCGTATGCTGATAACCTACCTGTTACTTAAATTTTAATGCACCACAACAACCCAAAGCATACAGCTAGATCTGTAAAATCTTGGCTTGAGGAAAATAAAATGAGAATGGCCACCAAAAAACTTTTATTTTTAATAATTCTTCGTTTGATATTCTAAACAGATCTTTTATATTACTATTTGAATTAAAAAAATTCAAATTATCAGCAAATAAGATAGCATTAAAAATTTTGGATACTAAATATAAATCATATATATAGAGTAGGAATAATAGTGGGCCAAAGATTGATCCCTGGGGAACACCACATGTTATAATATGTTTTTCTATTTCAATTGCTGAATATATTATATATTGTTTTCTGTTTGACAGGTAACTTTTAAACCATAAGTAAGTTATTGTTAATTGCTCCATACAGTTCTAGTTTTTTAAATTTAGAATGGCCACCCAAAAGTCTTGATCTGAATCTGATTGATAACCTATTGAACAATATTGAAGTGGCTTTACGAGATAAGCGAACCTTTAACTTTAATAATTTTGGGGGTAAATGCGATGCTAACACTGTCAAACAATGTCAAAGGCTTGTTATTAGTATGCTATCAAGATGTGCTCAAGTAATCAAAAAATAAGGGCAACAAAATAGCAATGTTAGTTATAACATTTTAATGTAGACTTTTATGCTTTTATACAGCATGTTTTGTTGTATTTAGTAAACTTTTCAATAGTAATAGTAATTATAGTTGTACTTTAATTAAAAATTATTTTTTATCTTATTGTTTATAGCTAATAAATGGTATTTTTAATTAGTATTTTTTTTTTTAATTTTCTGGTGAAGAAAAAAACTATATTAACCCTAATGAAGAAAACTTTAGCTATTTCTGTCATCACCACTGTATATATATATATATATATATATATATATATATATATATATATATATATATATATATATATATATATATATATATATATATATATATATATATATATATATATATATATATATATATATATATATATATATATGTATGTATATTTATTTGGGTGGTCCTTAGAACAACTTTATTTTTAATGTCTGCTCAATTACTCAAAATGGGTTTCATATAATAAAATAATATTAAAATTAAAAAATTTTCATAATAAAAAATATTTTTAGGGGTAGCTCAAGACCCTTAAACATCAGACAGGTCCCTATAATTATTAAAAAAATAGTTCTTTAAAAGTATATCTTGTTGGGTCTCAAAAGAAGTGAAATTATATAAAAACTTCAAAAATAATAATCATTTTATAAACAAATTATAATTTTAAATTTCACTGGCTAGAAAATGGCATTTTCACACTAAAAACTAAAAATATGCTTTTTTACAAAAAAAATTTATTATAAGTTTTTTTTTTAATGTTTTTATATAATTTTACTTCTTTTGACCCAACATGATATACTTTTGAAGAACTATTTTTTTGATAATTATAGGAACCCGTTTAATGTTTAAGGGTCTTGAACTACCCCTAAAAATAAGACATTTGTAAAATAAAAGTTGTATTAAGGACCACCCTAATATATATATATATATATATATATATATATATATATATATATATATATATATATATATATATATATATATAGCAGCCGTGATGCAGTAGTAGCGCACTTGCCTCAAAAACCTAAGATCCGTGTTTCGAACCCCACCTCTGAGCAAGTTTTGTGACATCGGTTAAAAGGAGGTGTAAACTTCCTAATAAATGCTCTTCCGCGGACTTCTTGGGACACCTAAAAAATAAAAAATAAATTTTTATATATATATATATATATATATATATATATATATATATATGTATATATAAATATATATATATATATATATATATATATATATATATATATATATATATATATATTGGGTGGACCATCCTAATATATATATATATAATTAAAAGTTCACCAGCCACTGTGAGCTCCATGCTGTAGCATAAGTGAGATCCTTTTCAAGCTCAAATGCTCATTCCAAGTAATCAGAGAGTGTTGGCTTCTTATCATGACAAAAATAAATGGTAGTATCATCAGCGAACAATGCCACCTTAGATGTGATATCTGTAAGATCGTTAATGTAAATTAAAAAGAATATTGGACCTTTATAAGGGTATATAAACTTGGTTGGACTAATGAATTTTAAATAAATTTTAAATACAAGTCATGAAGTTCAACAAATGAGAAAAAAGTATTTCGGATTTTAGGGAATAATTTTTTAATCTAAAGTTGAGGTCATCCATAAATGATGTCAGTAAATAGGAGTTGGGGGGGGGGGGGGAGAAGGGGGTTCTGAAAAGTTTGACAATAGCTAATAATGAGAAGGGGTTTTGAAACCAATATGATTTCAATTTTAAAAAGCTTTTTTTTTTCAAGTTTATATTTATGCCATCTATAAGCAGGTTTTAAAAAAATTAATAAAAATAAAAAAATACTTTAAAAAAACTGATACTAAATTTTCAATTTTATTTTAAATATTTTTTTTATAAACGTTTTTTATTAAAATCTATAAATCTATAAGTCATGAAAGTCAAATTAGAAAAAATTATTTTAGATTTTATGTAATAAATTTTTTAATTTAAAGTAGGGAGCCTTAGAGACCTTTCATAACTGATGTCAGTAAACAAAATGTGGGGAGGGTGGGGGATAAAGTTAGTATTGAAAAGTTTGGCGATAATTAATAATAGGGAGAGGTTTTGAAACCGAAAAGATGACAATTTCAAAAAGCTTTGTTTTCAAGTTTATATTTATGCCATATATAAGCAGGTTTTATAAAAGTTGATAAAAAGTAAAAATAAAAAATAAAAAAAAATACTATAAAAAAACTGATGATTGACTACTCATTTTTTAATTTTGATTAAAGGATTTTTTAAAAACAATTTTTTTTTTTAAATCTATAAATGAGCTATAAAAAAGAAATAAAAAACATAAGACATATTGCTAGTTATTTACTGATCATAGGTGCTTTGATGAAAAATGTTTCACAAGATTCAAAAGCTGTGTTTTAAAATTTTAATGTTACTGATAAAGGGAAAAAGTTAAAACTGCAAGATCCAATTAAATGAAGTAGTGGATTAGTAATTAACTTGGTGGATTAATGTAGGTGAAACTCAATGGTTATGGCCAAATATATTACCAAATAATGTTTAGTAACAGTAACCAGTATTTCTCATAAGGGATGTGGTTTTGCTACCCATGATTGTCTGTGACCATTTGTGACATTATTAATTTCTAAAAAAGTTAAAGCTTTTTTTTTTATTTGAAAAAATTACTTTGAAGTGTTTAGTTTTATTTTGTTATTTTTTATTTAAAGACCTCTTTTTTTAAAGACCCACTTTTATTTATTTTGTTTTTGCTTTTAGGTCAAAAAGGGATTGGTTTCAAGTCAGTTTTTCGTGTCACTGATATGCCTGAGATACACTCAAATGGTTATCATATCAAGTTTGATGCTTCTAGTGGTTCAAACGGTTATATTCTTCCAAATTGGATTTATGATTGGAATTCAGATCAAAGATCTACTTATCAACCTTGCGAATCTAGAAATTAGTATGTTGATATATTTTATTTATTTAAATTTGTATAATTGTATATTATGTTCATTAAAATCATTTAGTTAATACATTAAATTTTAAATAATACATTTCTTTTTAATTTTTTTTAACTTTGAAGTTTTTTTGTATCTGTTTGTTGTATTAATGCTATATTTTATGTAAAATTATTTTATATTCGTTTTTATCCAGTTTTTTTAATTTTATTTTTTATATTAAAAACCGCTTTTAAAAGAATTTCATTTTTTAAGTTTTAAGCCTATGTTTTTCAACTGATATTAAATTTGTGGCTATCAAGTTAGCCGTTTGTTTCTGTTTGTCAATTAGTACAATCCTTTAGACAGTGATTGGAAAGTTCCTTTTTTAAAAGATCTTGTTTCTTTCCCGTTCATTTTGCAAAATAAGAACTAGTTCCAGTTCCTCGTTCTTTAGTCAAAAAGGAATTCGTTCTACATTCCTCAAAAAAGAGAACTCGTTCCACTTCGTTCCTTTTTTAATACATATTTTTTATTTTGAAAATTGGAATAGTACTTTATTGTTGCGCTTGGCCAGCATCACTTTTTATTTAGTTATTTAATTTAAATAGTTTTTAAACATTTCTGTACATGCATCAGCATGTACTATATACACATGTAAAAAATATATTAAGTTCAATAACTTTGTTTCAATAACATTTTTAATAACTGCAAAACCACCAAGAATTTTAATTATTGGATCCATTTTGCAAACTAGAACCGCGTGTAATAAAGTTATATTGAAAATTATATTTTACAAGGAGTTTTTTAGATTTAGTTGGCTACATGTACTAACTTTAAAACTATATTGGTAACTAATATAGATTAAAAATTAGTATATACGGACAACTAAATATGAAATAATTCCAAACTAAACCACAATCAATTTAGTTATAAAATTAGTAGTTACAGCTGTTGGAGAACTGAAACCAAACTTAGATTTGATTTGATCTAAATACAACGCTTTTGAACCTTAAAAACAACTTTAGCGAAATCCAAATTTAAAAAGATTTTAGGATCTATTACTTTTTGTTCACATTCTTCCAAAAAAAGAAATCGATCTCTTTCCTCATTCCGTTATTTTAGAAGGAACCAGTTCCTAGCTTTGTTCCTCAAAAAAAGAACTAGTTCCATCAATCCGTTCCTTTTTGCAACGCATTCTTCCAAACACTACCTTTTGGACCAAAACAAGTTCATATTGGCTGTCTCTCTGAACTAATAAAATGATTTTTAATCTACTTAGTTCTCTACTTAGACTTTATAGCTAGATTTTTCAAGATTAAAATTAGTCAACTTTTTAGTTTGAAATTAATTTAATTATTAATTAGTTTAATTATATTTTTATTTAATTATTTCAATGATATTTAATATACTAATTAATTATATTAATTAGTTTAAATTTTTTAGTTAAACTTAAGTTTGTTAACTATCTGTTAGTTAACTTACTTAAGTTACTATTATTTTTCCTTTGGTAAGTTGTTATTAATTATTGTTATTAGTTGTATATTGCTTAATAATAATAGCAAAAAATAATAAATTAATAATGTTAATACATAATGAAATTTTTTTTTTTTAATATTTATAATTAGATTACATATAATATAGTTATATTAAATACATTTCCATATAATAGTTACATGTAATAAATCAATAACTGAATTATATATATATATATATATATATATATATATATATATATATATATATATATATATATATATATATATATATATATATATATATATATATATATATATATATATATATATTCTTCATTTTGAATTTTATTGCAATAATTTCTAATCATTAACCAAACCAAAAGTCAACTATAATTCCTACTGTAAGTTGGTGAGGACCATCACAAAATGCGGCTTGATTTCAGGGTGCATAACAGACTCTGTCTCTACTGCCATAAATTGAAACTAGAAACTCTGTCAGAAACGAAATAATGGATTCATAATTAAAGTGTTTAAAAATATATTAAGTGTGTTAAAGATTGAATTTTTTAATTTTTTGCATTTATAAGCTTCACCCAAGTTTAAATTAAAACATTAAGATTAGGTATATTAATGCTCTTTATATTTTTGAAATCTTTATTAACCTCTTAATCTTTTATAAAAAATATTTTTTTAAATTTAAAAAAAAATATTTTTAATTTAATAATTTTAAAATTTATTAATTAATTTGTGATAAGTTTAATTCTATTATACATATATAAACATTAAACACAAAAAATAAGTGCATTAAATTAAACATAATATATATGCGGGTTAATTATATATGTTTATTAGAGTTTTTTAATTTTAGTGGCTGGAAAACACAGATTGTATTGCCTTTAAAGAAAGAAATGCAGCATTCAAAACTTATTTCACGGTTTCATGACATTCATTCTTCTTTGTTGCTATTTCTTAATCGTTTACATACAATAATCATTGATGACAAGGTTTCAATTTTTTTTTTTTTTTATTTCTTTTTTTGCGATCTCTATCTTTAATTTTGATTTAACTTTTTTTTTTTTTAATTTAATTTTTTTATTATTTTTGAATTAATTTTTTTTTTTTAATTTAAAATTAGGTATCAAACATTATGAAAGTAATGGAAAGAGAACATGTAGAAAAAAATATTGTTCGGCTTTCTAATAACAATTATTCTCGTTTATGGTTTGTGGTTGAAAAAGAAATACCTATAGATGTTTGTTTTTTTTATTTTTAATGTTACATTATTTTTCACATGCTTTGTTGCTTTAAAAAAAAACATAAAACAGTTTTTTTGTTAATTTCTTTTTAAGACATTAAGTTTTACTTTTAGATCCGCGAAGACATTAAATCAACAAATATTGCATTTGCATTTCCATTTAACAACAAATTGAAAGCTGAGGTAATAAAAAAAAATCTACCAGAATTATAAAAAAAATGTTTTTGTTTTTTTAAAATCCTTCAAACTTTTTAAATACAACATTTTTTTTTTACATTTTTGCAGTAAATTGTTTAGGTGCATAAAAAAGTTAACATAAAGAGATTTGATAAAAAAAAAAAATTTTGTTCCATTTTAGAAAAAAAACAGGGCTGATTTTTATGTAAATTTTTTTGAATTCATGCAATCAAACTTGAAGTATCATAGCTTTTATTTTTATCATTTTGTATAAATTTAGACTTAGAATTAGTATAATTTATTAGTCATGCTCAGTCAATATAGTTTTATTTTGATAAATTTATTTAATAGATTTCAATTGCTTTTAATGGAAGGATATGAAGTCCCAAAAACGACTTCAGATTTGAAAGTCACAAAATGATTATTTATTCCTGGTTTTTGGTACTCATTAACTCCAAAAATGTAATGAGACTTGTGGACTACTTTTAAAAAAAAAATTTAAAAGGGCTTTTAGAGCCAAAATCTTTTTGAAGTTTTTTTTTTAATTTAATTTATAACAATAAATGCATAATTTAAAACAAATTTAACAGGCTTTAACATTTTTGAGAGATTAGATCTATGTTTCAATTATAAAAGTACTAAATTTTTTTTGTCATCATTTTTCTTTTTGTTATTACTTCTGCAGGCGTTTTGTTATGTAACAACTACAAAACTACTTTTAAGAAAAGAAAATAGTTAAATTTTTTTATATTTCATTTACCATAACATATTTCAAAAAAATCTATTGTTAACAAGTAAACAATAAAACTAAATTATGTTTTTAGACTAATTTTAAATTAAAGCCTTGTATTTAATTAAACCATTTTTATAAAGTAAAATAAAAAAGACTATTTATTACCATGAAGTTATAAATGCAACAGTTTATTATCCTGGGCAATATTAAAAAAACCATGTATCATGTTGAGCAGTTGCGGCACAGTGATTAAAATTTTTGTTCAGAAATAAGGGTAAGGTTTCATGCCTACTTCGGCTAGGTAAGTGAAACGAATGCATGAACTTGCTGGTTACAAGAATGCATAAACTTCCTTGTTAAATTGTTAAATAAAACCACCTTAATAACTAAAAGAAAAATAATAAATTTTTTTTTTGGTGAAGAATTTTTTTTCAATTTTAACTCAAAGTAATCTTTTCAAAAAATGCAAAACTTTTCGAAAACTTGTCGTTAGTTATCTCATTCACATTTTGTGCAGTGTTAACTGATTAAACTTATTAATTTCATTCAAGGTGTTGTTTAATGTAGAAGAATTAAATAAAATCTACAATTTATTTGGAGGCTTATTTTTGTCTGAAAAGTGGAAATTCTGTTTATTTTATTGCATCTTGTTGTTGTTTTTTAACTGATAACTATCATTAAAAATTTATAATTTAATTAGTTTTGTCAGGTCAGGTTATCCTGCAACTGGTAGCATGTAACCCAGTACAATCTGCTTTATGTCCTTCTGTCTTGTAGGATACGCCTTTTTAAGCAAAGGCTAGGAGATGCCAACTCCGACATAAAACACCCCCTACCTTACCTCATAGAGGCTCATTCCATCAACAGCTGAAAAATATCAAAGTATTAACAGCGCCATGTTGCGCATGGATGGTGTCCCTGTTTTTACTTTTGGTGTGCATTGCCAAGGCCACATTAGAGCCCTTTGTTACAGCTTAGGGTTTATTAATAGTAATGAGGCAATTGCTTGGGCTATTAAACAGTGTACTGAGTACTATCTATGTTTCGAGTCAAGTTCTTTAACAAATTTAAAAATGAATAAAGTAACAAAATCTATAAAACACAAAAAACCACTGTCATCACCAAGTTCGCTAAAGCTATCATTCACTAATATTCATGGTCTTTGAATTAACTTTTCTTCTGTTGAGTCTTATCTCTTGCAAAGTTCACCAGACTTACTTGCTCTTTGTAAGACTAATTTGAGTTTAGCTGTCTCATCTTGTGATGTTAGTGTTGATGGTTATCTTCTTTTAATTCGTAAAGACTCCAATAGTCACATGCTTGGCCTGGGCATTTACATTCGTAAGAATTCACCTTTTTGTCGGGAAACTAGGTTTGAATTCACAGACTACTCTTTTAAGTGCTTTCATTTAGCACCACTCTATCACCTTTTTTTTTGTTCTATATTGCTCTCCTTCATCTCAAGACTGCACTCTTTTTGATGTTATTTCTGATCATATTGACCAAGCCTTCTCTCTTATCCATCAGCCAATATTGTTGTTGTTGGTGACTTTAATGTTCATCACACTGAATGGCTTGGCTCTAGTGTCAGTGACTCTGAAGATATTAAAGCCCACAAGTTTTGTCTTTCTCAATCCTTAACTCAAATAGTCAACTTTCCAATTCGCTTTCCAGATCATCCCAATCATTTACCTTCTCTACTCAACTTATGTCTTTTTTCTGATCTTAGTCAGTGCTCAGGTTCCCCACATTTACCCTTAGGTGCTTCTGATCAGAGTTTGATCTCTCTAAAACTATTATCTCATTCTTCTTTGTCATCAGAATCCCCCTATCATCGTACATCTTACAACTACCGTAAATCTGACTGGGACTCTTTCCATGATTTTCTTCACGATGGCCCTTGGGTAGAAATCTTTTGTCTTCCTGTTGACAATTTTGCTTCTTACATAACTTCTTGAATTCAGGCTGGCATGGAATCTTTTATTCCCTTTTGATAATTCCAGGTCAAGCCTCACTCTTCTCCATGTTTTTCCTCTCATTATGCTGCTAAAATTGCCAATCGAAACCATTACTTCCATATCTATCAGCAAAACAAAACTCTCCAGAAAATAGACGTTTGTTTAATACTGCGAGGAACCATTGTAAAAAGGTTTTGTCTACCACCAAAACCCTCTATTCTCAGGTCATGAAATCTTGTATTTCATCACAAAAATTAGGGTCTCATGACTTCTTGAGAATCTTTAATAGTATCAATAATAAGGACAAGTCTGTAATTCCACCTCTTTTGCATGGTTCAGACTTTGTCACCTCACCTAAAGACAAAGCTGAATTGTTTGCTAAGAACTTTTCATCAATATCATCTCTTGTTTCCACTAGTTGCATTCTACCTGATATAGTTGTTAAACAGGTTGATCCATTGCTTGACATTTGTATCACTCCAGCTACTGTATCTAAAGTGATTTCCTGCTTAGACCCTTTTACAGTTTGTGGCCCAGACAACATACCTGTTATAGTCTTGCAGAAGTGTTCTCCGGAGCTGTTGTCTATCCTTTCACAACTATTCAACAAGTGCTTATCAGAGTCTTGTTTTCCAGCCTGCTGTAAAGCAGCATCTGTTATCCCTATTTTTAAAAATTCTGGAGAGCGATCTGGTTCGTCTAACTACCGTCCCATTAGTCTTCTTTCTATCATAAGCAAGGTTTTTGAATCTTTAATAAACAAACACTTAATTTCTCATCTTGAATCTAATAACTTACTTTCTGATCATCAATATGGATTTTGATCTTCTCGTTCTACGGCTGATTTGCTAATAGTAATAACCAATAGGTTTTATTGTGCATTAGATAAAGGTGGAGAGGTTTAGGCCATCGCTCTTGATATTTCTAAAGTGTTTGATAAAGTTTGGTATGCTGGTCTTCTCCATAAGCTTTCTTCTTTCGGTGTATCTGGAAACATCTTTAAGATTATTGAATCCTTTCTTTCGAATAGTAATATAAAAGTTGTCCTTAATGGACAGCACTCTTCTTCTCATTCTGTAACCTCAGGGGTTCCTCAAGGTTCAACCCTTGGCCCTATACTCTTTTTAATTTACATTAATGATCTTCCAGATATTCTTACATCTAAGGTGGCGTTGTTTGCTGATGGTACTACTATTTATTTTTGTCATGGTAAGAAGCCAATCAGAAGTCTCTCTGATTGCTTGGAGGGGGAAATTGAGCTTGAAAAGGATCTTACTTCTGCTACCACATGGGGCTCACAGTGTCTGGTGAACTTTAATTCAGATAAAACTCAATTTTTTTCAGGCAATTGTTATTACAATAATTTAGACTTTCCTATATTTATGAGCGGTAATGTACTCTATGAGTCATCTACCCTTCATCTTCTAGCATTGACTCTTATTTCTGATCTTCCTTGGAAACCATATATTAAATCCGTTCCAAAATTAGCCTCTGCTAAAGTTGCATCCCTTTATCGAGCTGGACTCTTTCTTACTCTGGATTCTATTCTCTATCTCTATTAATCTCAAATCCGGCCTTGTATGGAATATTGTTGCCATACCTGGAGTGGATCTTCTAATGATGCCCTTTCTCTTTTAGACAAAGTGCAAAAATGCATTGTAAACATTGTTGGACCTGCTCTTGCAGCCAACCTTGAACCATTATCACATCATTGTAATGTTGATTTTCTTTCTCTTTTCTTCAAATACTATAATGGGCACTGCTCTAAAGAGCTAGCGTCTCTTGTGCCATCTACTAAAATTCATTCTCGTGTTACTCGTCATTGAATTAGGTCTCATCCATTTTCTGTTACTGTTCCCAAGTGCTCCAAAAACTCTTATTCGTCTAGTTTTTTTCCTCGAACATCAGTTCTTTGGAATTTGCTTCCTTCATCTTGCTTTCCTGATTCATATAATTTGCAATCTTTTAAATTGTCTGTCAATTGTTATGTTGCTTTACAATCTTCATCTTTTCTCTTCCAGTAACTTCCAACACTAAATAGTGGTTGCTTGCAGCCTTGTTGGAAGCAAAGTTGTTTAAAAAAAAAGTTATTATTTATAATAAATAATTAAATTAAATATAAGTAATAAATAAAAGTATAACTTTATTAGTTTTTATTTTTTTATTAATTTCTTTATTAAATTTATTTTATTTATATTTTTTTATATGGTATATAAAAGTAAATTGTAGTATGTATTTTTTTTTTGTACATATTTTTCATTAGGCACTTCCTGCTCAGCAAGTCTTTGCATTTTTACCATTGAGAAGCTACGGATTTAAGTTTATTATACAAGCTGATTTCGAAGTACCATCTTCTCGGGAAGATATTGACAAAGATAGTGCATGGAATCAGTATATATTGCAACAACTCCCAAAATTAACTGTTGAAGCCTTTTACTCTTTTAAAGTAAATTTTTTTCTCAATTTTTTAAATTTATTATAAACTGTTATTCAACAGTTTTTTTTGTAAGTAAAAAACGAAAATGTTTTATATAGTTTGGCACACAAAATTTCTCAATATTTATCTAAAGAAAAAATTTAATAGTTAAAATTTAATTTACCTATATGGTTTTGAACTTTAAAAGATTTTTAAAATGTTGTAGAAAATTTATTTTACCATATTTTAAATACTATATTATGTTAATAATAACAAATATGTTGAGAAATAAAATATTTGTTAATAGAAAAAATTTTGTTTAACAAAACATCAACAATTAGCATTAAAAAAACAATTAAAATTAATTATTTTTATTTTTTTTGTATTTTTTTAATAATAAGTATATATTTTTTTAAAAATACAAACTTTTTTGTTTATGCAACACAATTATTTTAAAAAGTGACCAATGGAGCTGTTTAGTTATGTAGACTTGGGAGATGTGAAAATAAAAACAGATTGTAGGTGATGTCATTGAGGTGAAAAACATAAATTAATGTAAAGACTATTTAGTAGGAGGAGTAAAAGTTAGCGACTCAGGAAGAGAGGAACCATAACTCACACTCTTTAGCAAATGATAAAACAATGATCTATGAGTAAACAAGTCAATATAAATCCGTTGGTTTATTAATGGTATCCATTACTATAATAATCACACCATACAAAAATAATAAAATAAGTAGATAACAAAGTAAAATGATAATAAATGATAGTTGGAGCAATATAAAAAATAGAAAAAAATGACATTTCACCTATGACATTTCGGAGAGCCTGAGACCTGCAGTAACACCACTCGTCAGGAGCGTGTCCTTGCAACAGATCTCACCGCCTGCACTCTACATCATGCTAGTCAATATTGCAATATAATAGGACTACACTACAAAAGTCAAAAAACCCAATCCCTATCCTACTTTTTAATACAGCTTCAACATTCTTAGAGATCTCCTGAGGGTGGTGAATCTTACCTGATAAGAAGAGACAATATCTATCACACAAAACAGGCTCAGAGTAATTAAACAATGATTATCCAGAGATAAAAAAGTAGTTAATAAACCAAAGTTCCATTTGGTCGTCTAGTATGGTTTTGTTTTGTTTTCGTTCACTTTCAAATCAGGTGAATAGAAAGCTAAACACACTCACTTCTTGCGCTTAGCATTAAACATATAATTATAATAAAACATTTATTTTTTTGTATTTTTTTAATAATAAGTATAATTTTTTTTTTGAATACTACAAACTTTTTTGTTTATGCAACACAAAGATAAAAAAAAATTACAGACTACCAGTGTACAAACACTACAAACTACCTAGTACAACACTACAAACTACCTAGTACAAACTACCAGTGGTGAAATAAATTTTTTCATTTTAAAATGAAGAAAAATTTATTTTTCCTGGTTTAAGATCATTTTTGACAATCTTAATTAGTTTTTAAAAGATTCTTTGTTGAAACTTGGTATTAGGTCAAAAGATTCTTTATTGAAAAGTGGTATTAGGTCAAAAGATTTTTTATTGAAAAGTAGATCAAAAGGATAACTTTGTTATCCTAATATCAAAATGTTAAAATAACTTTGTTTATAGGATTAGGAAGAAATTTTTTGTTTCTTATAGGGGAGACATTACAGTGCTCTTTTTTTTACAAATTGTTTTAGAACTTTCTTTCAAACTAACAATAACAAAGCATAAACTTAAAACAAGCAAGACTACTGCATAAAGAAACAAGTAGTTTAAAATACTACAAATGAGTTCGATAGGTTTCAACAAGTGACTTTGATGAGTTTTAACAAGTGACTTCCATGGGTTTCAAACTTAGCACTTCTTGTTAAAAAATAATTTTTAAGCAAGGAGTGCAGAATTTGAAACCCACTGCCATATTGCAAATGCAAAATACATTTATATTTTTATAAATAAGTTTTTTTTTTGTTTTTTTTAATTATTTAAAATTATAAAAAATTTAAAATCACTTATAAGTATTTTTTTATTAGGTTCATCAATACTTTAAAGGTTTAGAAGGTGTTATTGAGTATTTAAAGTTTATGGACCTTGAGGACAATGTGTCTGGTGTGTTTAAGCAAGTCAGTCAGCAAATGATAAAGTCTTTACAACGTGAAGCATGTTTACCTGTTATACCCAGAAATATAGAGAATATTTTAAATTGGGTGATTCCAAAACACATAGTCTTTTCTCAACAAGAAATTTATAAAGTGATCTCTCCTGAAATACTTCAAGAAAAACTTGGTCTTTATTATTTAAATAATGATATTGACTGTACTGCATTAAAGCGGGTGTTAACCTCTTTAGGTGTATGTGAGCTTAACTTTGAACAGCTAATAGAAGTTTGCAAACTGGTAGTACAAGAGTTTAGCTCATCTTCGCAACAAATCAAGGTTTATTTTATATACTATTTATATATATATATATATATATATATATATATATATATATATATATATATATATTTTTTTTTTTTCGTATATGTTTTTATTTGTTATATTGCTTTCAGAGTGTCTTGTCCAAAATATTTATTTTAAACAATGTTTATTATAATTAACAAGAAGTTACAGATAATAAAACTAAAGATATAGTTGTTTTACATATAACTAACTTATATTATAAGGGGTTGCACCTTGAAGCATTTAAAAGTTTCCTTCTAACAAAATATGTAAATATTTTATTTCAAAAGAAAGTCTTGTTGGGTCTCAAATGAAAGAAAAGTATATAAAAAATTATTATTAAAAGTTCTTGTAAAAATGCACTATTTTCATTCTTTAATTAAAAATTTTTGTTTTTTGTGCGCTAAAAAAAATACTTTTTCAAATGAATATTATTTTGAAATTTCCATATAAATTTTCTTAATTTAAAACCCAACATTTCATCTTTTGAAAAACATGTTTTTTTTAACAGATAGATTGCTTTCCCAAACCAAAACCTTTAATCGATGTAAGGTTACTAATCGATGTAGCATGTTCTACCTTTTTAAATCAATTGATGTATGTACGCTCCTTGCATTTTCTAACCATTGAAGTCATTCAATGTACGACACTCTAATCAATAATATCCATATAGTGTAGTCGAAAGAGCGTTTTAATGTAAAAAAAGTATTTTTCGACTACAATTTTAATTACCTCGTCTCTTAAGCTGTTTTTGATTGTCGTCAAAATGTCAAAGCAATTAAATTTATGCGGAAGTACATTAAATTTTATTGTTTTTTTAAAAAACCGCAATTATAACGACTAGAAAGTTTTTTTTTATTAGTGGTGTTTTTGTTTTTGTTTTATTAAAAAACATTTTTAAAACATGCGTAAATGTTGATACATCGACTATCTTATAGCCTGACTTGCAACGGAGTGCTGCTACATCGACTGGCAAATAGCCTGATTCGCAACGGAGTGCTGCTACATCGACTGACAAATAGCCTTACTCGCAAGGGAGTGCTGCTACATCGACTGACAAATAGCCTGACTCGCAAGGGAGTGCTGCTACATCGACTGACAAATAGCCTGACTCGCAAGGGAGTGCTGCTACATCGACTGAGGGTTTGGTTTGGGCAGGCAGTCTATCATTTAAAAAAAAAAAAAATTAATTTTTTAAACTTTTTCTGGTCTGGTTTATTAACGCGCTCTTTAAAACTACAGTTTATGGGAAACTCTTTTTCACTACCATGCAAGAGTATATATATATATATATATATATATATATATATATATATATATATATATATATATATATATATATATATATATATATATATATATATATATATATATATATATGTATATATATATATATATATATATATATATATATATATATATATATATATATATATATATATATATATATATATATATTTAGAGAGAGAGGCTTTGGCAGAAATGGCGGTCTATAGCCCGTGCCCGCCTCCACACCCGTGCAAATCAGTTTACACAGGGGAAATAAAGCCTGTGCAAAATATAAATTTTTGGTGAAAATAAAGTTGAAAATTTTTATGTTTTTCCTTACTTATTCTTTTAAAAACTTTTCAAATGATGTAATTTTGTAAAACTGTTTGTTTTACTAGTTAAAAAAATGAAACTATTTCATTCAGGATATCTTGAAAAAATTATGAAAAAGTTTTTGAATATTCTGATGTAAAAATAAAAAATAAAATTAAAACAAGTTATTTCAAATAGTTATAACTGTTCCGTATTCTGTGAAATGTTAAAAGATAAATAATTAGTCAGTATGTTAAAAAGCAGGCAAAATATGTATGTGTTGCAAAAGAATTTAACATAATAGTCTGGGTTTTTAGTATTCTTTGGAAATTTGTAAACATATACAATAAGAACTGTTAGATAATAAAGACAATTTCTTTTTTATATTATCACACATTTTGCTTAATTGATTGATAATATAATTTGTCATACTTTAAAGTTGGGTAAAGTAGTGCATATTTCCCTGTATTCTTCGTTAACTTCCTGTTTTTTTTTTTAAAAAGGTGGCAGTTTATTTAACATGCTAATATATAACTCATTAAAAATTGAATATCTCATTTATGAGTGTCTGATATAAACTTATCGAGTTATTCAGGTTATCAAGTTATTCAAGTTTCCAGTTATTCAAATTTTCAATGTGAAGTTCAAAGTTTCAGGTGAAAATGAAATTTGTGGAAAAGAAACAATTGTGGAAAATAGAACAATATTTGTTGTAAAGCTATGGTATAAGTTCTGTATTCAGTATAAAAAAGAATTGCTTTGCAAGCTTAATATTTGCAAGCAAAGTATGGGGCATACTTTAAAAAGTAGATGGACCAAGTAACCAAATTTATGCAAAATAACAAGTTTAATCATATGCTTATCTGGGTTGAACTCTTCAGTGAAATGAGCCTTTAGTCTTCTGACAATGCTTATGTCAGACCAAAGACTCAAAATCAACCACAAAACAGTTAACGCTATCTTGGCCATTAAAATTAATGATCCAAATTTTAGTGATAATGATAGGGAAAATGTAATCAAACAAGTTACTGATATATTTTTACAAAAACGGCAAACAGCTATTTACGATCCAATAATTCAACCTGCTACAATAGTAAATGATGAAAAAGACAACATAGACTGTGATAGTTTATGCAGTGAATGGGAATTTAATACCCTTCTATTGGTTCTATTCGTAAAAAAATGTAAAAAAGATTTGTTTTCTTTTTAAATTCATATAACGCTTTTTTTTATACACGCCTATATTATATAAGAAAAATATATTAAATAAGAAAAATATGTTTAAGAAATATATATACCAGAATCTTAAAAAGAATAAATCTAATTGTACTAAGTCTCTTAGAAATTTAAAATTAGATTACCTTAAATTTTAACATTTCACATCAACATAACATATATTTTCTCCTATTTTCCGAAAAGAATATAAAATCAATTACGAGTTCATAAAAGAGTATGATAGTAAATTGAATGGAAGTAAATTGAATGGAAGTAAATTGAACGATCGTAACAATTAAAGTTTTAGTCTAAACAGTTAAAAAACAATTGTATAAATTGTTGTATAAATTGTATAAGAACTCTTTGGTTCAAGGTTTATTAAAAAAAAAATTCAATGTAGTTGTCACTATATCTTTATAACTTAGAGATATCACAGTTAAAATTTTAAAATTTAATTTAATTTACAAAGCACAAGAAAAATGAATCAACTAAAGAAGCTCAATTAAAAATGTTTTATTTTATTTCATTATTTTAATAAAACAATATATTAATACTCAAATAGAGCTTGCAAAATTGCTACGTTCATTGCAAAATCTTTTAAGCAAATGTCAAGATGCTTGAATAAAGAAACGCATTTTCTTTCATTCAATCTTCTTAAATTTTTTGAACATCATCTTGAGCAAGTTTTGCAATTATCAAACAATAATTGCAAAACTTGTTTTTCTGCCATTTTTTGCGTTGTTTGCAAATTATTGGTTTGACTATATCTGTTATAAACTAAAATCAGATTATACAACTGATAAAACTTGAGAATAAAAGAATAAAGTCTGAATGAAAATCGAGAAACAAAACCAAAACAAAAACATAATAACAAAATCTCACTAAGTAGAGTGCACTCTGAACGAAAGATAAAAATTGCTAGTGTAACTTTGAAAAACTCAACTTTACAAGTTTTGGGATCAACATTAGGTTCTCTTGTTTTTCTTATTTAAATCAACAATCTTCATAAAGTCTCAAAGTTAATGACACTTATGTTTGCAGACGACACAAACTTATTCTGATCTCACAATAATATTACATTACTATCTCATAATATGAATAAATTGATGAACTAGTAAGAGTTTCTGGTTGTTTAAGACAAAAAAAATATTTTCTTTTTCTTTTTTCCATCCTAACCACAAAAAATATTTTATACCACATAACATGTCAACTCTTTTTATTGATAATACAATTTTTAAAAAAAGTAACAGTTACCGATTTCCTTACCAACTTCCTTAGTATTTATATTAATTTACAATCTGAGTTATCAGATTGTAAATTAATATAAATACTATCATTCACATAAGAAATTTGAGTAGTAAAGTATAAAAAACAAGTTTCAAGTTTAATTATCAAAGTCTTTTAAAATGTCTACTCTTCTACTTGTTAATAAAGCGATTGTAGAAATTTTTATATATGATGACATTTTGATTCACAATTATAAAGAAGAATGAAATTTATAAAACTTTTTATAATAATTGAATTGAATTGGTGAGAAGAAGATCACTACTAGTCCATTTTTTCATAATTACATGTTAATCATAGTTAGATAATTACATAATTACACTACTAATGTCGATCTTGGTATAATTAACTTATGTCGATCAAATTCATAATTTTTTTATGTCGATCACTTTTTTTCATAAGTAACTTATGTTGATCTCTCTATGTATTACAAACATATTACTAGTTTTGTTAGTCTTTCTTTCATTATTTTTTATAATGAAAGAAAGATAGACTAGTATTATTTTATTATAACTGTTTAAAACTTAAACATTGATTATCTCGAAATGAAAACATTGATTATCTCGAAATGAAAACATTGATTATCTCGAAATAAAAACATTGATTATCTCGAAATGAAAACATTGATTATCTCGAAATGAAAATATTGGACTTGTACTGTTCTGCTTTTTACCGATTCAATTAAGATGATTCGTTTTTATAAAACAACAATATGATGTGACATCATATTGTTGTTTTATAAAAACGAATATATAAAAGTTTTTTCATATATTGTTATTTTATTAGAATGATTGATTATATTTTAACTTTTGAATATTGTTTTTTATTTTATTATTTAATTATTTTACTATTTAATTAATTACTAAATTATTAAAAAAAAATTAAATATAAAAAATTATTTAAAAAGAAACGTTTTTTATTTTAAAAGGTGTTTTTCTGTCTTTTTATCGTTAAAAAAACATTTATTACAAAATTTTTGCTATACCTGGCGTGAAAAATAAACAAAACCAAATTTCAGAATCAAAAAAAAGTTTCATCAAAACATAATAGTTTTAATTTTTCAAAAAAACCCAAGCAAGACTATCTAGGCGGGCAGCCCACATAGCCTGCAAAGATAGGTTTAGATGGGCTATTTATAGCTCATGCACTCATTTACTCCTGCCGAAGCCTATATATATATATATATATATATATATATATATATATATATATATATATATATATATATATATATATATATATACTCTTGCATGTCTCTTGCATGGCATCAAAAAAAGTTTCCCATAAACTGTAGTTTTAAAGAGCGCGTTAATAAACCAGACCAGAAAAAGTTTTATAAATTAAATTTTTTTTTTTAATTGATAGACTGCCTGGCCAAACCAAACCCTCAGTCGATGTAGCAGCACTCTCTTGCGAGTCAGGCTATTTGTCAGTCGTTGTAGCAGCACTCCCTTGCGAGTCAGGCTATTTGTCAGTCGATGTAGCAGCACTCCGTTGCAAGTCAGGCTATTTGTCAGTCGATGTAGCATCACTCCGTTGCGAGTCAGGCTATTTGTCAGTCGATGTAGCAGCACTCCGTTGCGAGTCAGGGTATAAGATAGTCGATGTAGCAACATTTACGCATGTTTTAAAAATGTTTTTTATTAAATCAATAACAAAAACACCACTAATTTAAAAAAACTTTCTAGTCGTTATAATTGCGGTTTTTTAAAATTTTTTTAAAAAACAATTAAATTTAATGTACTTCCGCATAAATTAATTGCTTTAACATTTCGATGACAATCAAAAACAGCTTAAGAGACGAGGTAATTAAAATTGTAGTCGTAAGAGACTTTTTTTACATTAAAACGCTCTTTCGACTACACTATATGGGTATATATATATATATATATATATATATATATATATATATATATATATATATATATATATATATATATATATATATATATATATATATATATATATATATATATATATATATATATAAACACACACACACACACACATATATAGATAAATAATTTTTTTAATTTATTGTACTCAATATCAATAGTTTTTATTTTCAATTTGCATAAATGATTACTATAATTTGTCAAGTTGATGAAATCTGGTTTGAAGAAAAATTTGATGATAATATAGGAATCTTTCCTGTTGAAGTTAAATAATTGCACTTATGCAAATTAAGCAGTATGAAAAAAACATCTCTGAGGACTTTTCAAAGTTTGTTGTAAAATAAGTTTCTAGTTTTCATTAAAATCAGTAAAACAGCATTTAAAGTTCAGCTTTTTTTTCCCTTTAGCCAAAGCACTTGGTTTGAAGGTTCATTTTATGAATTGCTTCAGTACCACAGTTTTTGTTAAAGTAAAAAAGTTTTTCTTAACAAATACTTTTTGTTTAAGTTTTTACGACATTGTTGTTGTGGCTTTATGATAGAGTTGCATACCACCTGTAGTAATATTTATTCATAAACTTCTGTTGTTAAACATTGTTTTTGTAATGTTAGGCCTCAATAAAATTCTCAAAATTTTATAAAAATGACCTGTTTCTTTGCAAATTCTTTAACATGTCAAATTAATTCAAAATAAAAAATTATCATCAACATCAGTTTAAGTTATTATTTTTGATTATTTTATTTAAGGTCTGGCAGCAAAAGAAATGCTGCTAGAATAATTTCTACTTAAAAATAATCAAAAACTAAAACTCCTTTCAAAAAAATCTTTGCTGATATCTCAACAAGGGTTAGTCTTATGATTCTCCATTGTTATTTTTCAGAAAAAAAATTTGAATTTCAATCAGTTTACTTTGCAGGCTTTAATGTGCAACCAGTTTGTTATAAAAATGGTTATAACATTTTAAAAATGGTTATAAAGAAGTTTGTTTTAGCATTACAGCAAGCATGGGTTTGATGAAATTCTGTATGTCACCTTTTGTCTTAAAATTAAATTCTACATAAGAAAAAGTAAAAATAATTACAAGAAATAGTTAAAATTTGATTAAAATTTAACACTCGAAGGATATTTCACGAAAACTTGATTAAAATCAAATTTTTGTGAAATATCCTTCAAATGATCAACAAATTTTTACATCTTTCAGCATTTAATTTAGTAGTATTAAAGCTAATCATACTTTTTGACATTAATTTTGACATTCATTTTTCCAATCATGTAGTTTTTTGCCTATTGAAGACAAAGTTTGTGTTAACTTTAGTTAGTGCTAGAGGTATGCATTTTTTTTTTGCATATTTAAGAAACGACTGACTGGTTAATTTTAACATTCACCATCCATCTTGAACATTTCAATTTCAAATCAGCGCCAATATATCTCACGGAGACAGTGCTGTTGCTAGCAGCACAGTTTGTCGCAGTTGATGATGTGTAAGCATCAGTCTTTTACTGTTTTTATTAAAAATTTGCCCTATAAATCGTTTGACTATTTACAAAATTGTTGATAAAATATGGTTAGCGTCTTAGCTTGCAAGTGATTGTCCTGTTCGATAAGCTCAATGATCTGCAGGCTTTAATCTTGCCTTTTTTTTCAGAGAGTGTAATTCCTTATGGCATTTGTTAAAATGTATTTCATTAAATAAACTTAGTTATTTAATGAAATACATTTTAAATGTTATTAAAAAACGAACTTCACTTTTTATAGCTTTTGCTGTAATTTAGATAATAAGATTTTAATTTTGCACCTCAGATAAAGTATTTTGTTTATTTTGAAAAATGTTTTACAAATAGAATTTGATCAACAATCTTTGAAAGCTGCTTTCAAAATGCAGATTTATAACTTCATATTATAGAAATAATACTTTATATTGCAGATTTATAACTTCATATTATAAAAATAATACTTTATATTGCAGATTTATAACTTTATATTATAGAAATATTAAAAAAATATTAAAATAATCTTTTTATTATTATAATTTAAAATTTATAATAATGAAAATCAAATAAATAACTTGAAATAAAAAAATAAAGACTAAAATTATTTTTATTAAAGTTTTCACAAAATTAACTTTTTAAAGAAAATCTTTTTAAAAAGTTATTTGTTTTTGTTCAAGAATCCAGATAAAATGCAGCAATGGATCGGAAAATGGCTTCACCTAGTATATACAAGCCTTCAAAATTCCTGTGATTGTAGTAAAAAAACATTTGATATTATACGTTCTTTACATATTTTTCCTATGACAAATGGAAGTATGATGTCTCTTAAAGAAAATGACGCTTTTTTTCCAGTCAATTACATACCAAAACACGGAGAAAAAAAGGAAGGTAATAATTTTGATATTATCATTAACTACTTTGTTATAAAAGATAATGAAACATAATAGCTAAAGTAAATGCTCTCTACAAATTTTATTCTATGTTATTTTATTATGCTTTGTTATTATTTTATTTGTTTAGTTTTTTAGTTTTTAATTATTGTATTTTTAGTGCTACTCTTTAACGCTTTGTTTTTTTAGTAAAATTAACTTTATTAAAAACTTTTTTAATCAAGTTGTTTGACTTATTTTTATATATTTTATATTTATTTATTTTTGACTTTTTCATTAACTTCTTAGCCCTCGGAATTAAGGTTGGCATTTGGCAACGCCAACCTAACTGCTAAAACCGTTTGAGAATGACAAAAAATTGCTGACCTCATTTCTATGTTTTATTTCATTACCTTATTGTCAATTTTTTTTTTGCCAACCTTCTATGCCGACTTCTAACAGTTTAATGTTGGAAACTTATTGCCAACATCATTTTTCCTAATTTTGAGGGGTGACTTCTTATAAACTTGATGGCAAAACTACTTGTCCTAAAGTTTGTATTAATGAAAATGTTTTCATTCAATAAAACAAATTAATATATTAAAAGAGGTTTTTTTTTTTTTTTTAAACTTAATTGTTAGAGTTTAGAGTAATCTAATTATTTATTTATTTGCGGTAGTGGTGTAGTGGTAGAGCGCTCGCTTCATAAACGAGTGGTTTTGAGTTCGATCCCCACCACGTCCCTGGCAGTACTGCGCTCAACTCGTTTCTCCGCGCAGCGGCCTTGTTCGTCAAGGTTCGTGTTTTGGAGTTATAGAGTTGAGAGAGCGTTATAGCCACAAAATAAGTAGCCTCCTTGTTTGTAGTGGCCTTCTCGGCCTTGAGGAGGTGAAAAAAAATAATAAATAAAATTTTTTTATTTATTATTCATTTATTTTTAATTATTATTTATTTATTTTTAAAAAGTTTTGTATATACTATTTATGAAAATATTATATTACTTTTTTTATTATTGTATGTTATCTTTTGTTTCTAATATTTAGATAAAAATAATTACAGACGCTGTTTTAAACTTTTTTAGATAAAAGGATGTTAGATTTGATAGAAAATGATTTAAATATTTTATCTTCCAACTTAATGGAATCACTGGATCATATTGAACAAGAGCAAGTTAAAAAGCTTATGTGTGACTTGGGTGTGAAATATATTACTCCTTCTGATCTTATTCATAACCACATTATTCCTTCTTTTAAATCAGGACTTTGGAAGGTATTAATAAAAAAATTTAAATGATTAGTTTTATACATACATACACACACACACACACACACACACACACACACACACAAACACACACACACACAGATATATATATATATATATATATATATATATATATATATATATATATATATATATATATATATATATATATATACATATATATATATATATATATATATATATATATACATATATATATATATATATATATATATTAACTAAGAAAAAACAACTTTTTCTATGGTACCTTAAGTTTCATGCCTATATGGCAATCATCAATTATTGAATACAAAATCAAAAACAAAAAAACCCACTTAAAAAATTACAAAATACTGTGTAGTGGAATCTTTACGTCGCTAAAACATACTTGATGGAAGCCAAAGAAAAAACAAAATATTACCTTATCACAGGTGTCAAAAAAAGATAAAAGAAATTTATTCTTGTGCCTGCATTTTGAAATCAACTTATTTCGTTTATTTAACAAGTTATCACCTTTATATGTTAAAATAAAGAGTTTTTCAAATAAGCAAAGATTGCAAATTTTTGATGAGATGTTATAAGAATTGCAACATTTTACAATTTTCCACTTAATTAATTTCTTTTAGGCAACTCTGTATCATTTTTATATTTAATAATGCTAAAAGATTTTAGGTGATTAGCATACCAAGATTTGAATGGAGTTTCACATGAGCCAAAATATACTTTTACTTTGTAGTCATCGACACAGTGCTTTATAAACGATGTTCTTTGTCAAGCACTGATTGTTCATGGGACAGATGGACTTGTTGACACAGTCGCATGTTTTTCCCTTGTTGCATCTTTATCTTGGCTATTTAATATCCTGTGATTGTGCAAATATTTTGTTTTTGCTTTGGTTGCCATCAAGTATGTCTTAGCGAAGCAAAGATCCCACTACACAGTATTTTATAATTTTAAGCGGGTTTTTTAACGATTATTGTATAAGCATGAAACTAAAGATACCATAGAAAAAGTTGTTTTTTCTTTGTTAATATATATATTATGTATTTCTCCTGTTACACTCCTAGACTTGATCATACATACATACATATATACATACATGCACACATAAAATGAAAAAAAAATTTTGTTAAGTGATTTTCTACTAATTTAAAATTGCTCTGTTCTTTTAAGAACATTGAGCACAATATTTTGTAGAATTCATTTTTGAAATTGTTAAAATATATATATATATATATATATATATATATATATATATATATATATATATATATATATATATATATATATATATATATATATATATATATATATTAATTATCTTCCCTTCCAACAAGGCTGCAAGCAACCACTAATTAGTGTTGAAAGTTACTGGAAGAGAAAAGATAAAGATTGTAGAACAAAATAACGATTGACACACGACTTAAAAGACTGCAAATTATATGAATCAGGAAAGCAAGATTAAGGAAGCGAATTCCAAAGAACTGATGTTCAAAGGAAAAAAACTAGATGAATAAGTGTTTTTGGAGCACTTAGGAACAGTAACAGAAAAAGGATGAGACTTAATTGAATGACGAGTAACACGAGAATGAATTTTAGTAAATGGCACAAGAGACGCTAGCACTTTTGAGTAGTGCCCATTATAGTATTTGTAGAAAAGAGAAAGAGAAGCAACATTACGACGATGTGACAGAGGTTGAAGGTTGGCTGCAAGAGCAGGTCCAACTATGTTTACAATGCGTTTTTGCACCTTGTTTAAAAGAGAAAGGGCATCATTAGAAGATCCGCCCCAGATATGACAACAGTATTCCATACAAGGCCGGATTTGAGATTTATAGTGATAGAGAATAGAATCCAGAGTAAGAAAGTGACGAGTTCGATAAAGAGAAGCAACTTGAGCAGATGCTAATTTTGCAACGGATTTGATATAAGGTTTCCAAGAAAGATCAGAAGTAAGAGTTAATCCTAGAAGATGAAGGGTAGTAGACTCATCGAGTACATTACCGTTCATAAATATAGGAAGGTCTAAACTATTGGGATAACGATTGGCCGAAAAAAATTGAGTTTTATTTGAATTAAAGTTCACCAGCCACTGTGAGCCCCATGCTGTAGCAGAAGTGAGATCCTTTTCAAGCTCAGATGCCCCCTGCAAGCAATCAGAGGAAGTTGGCTTCTTATCGTGACAAGAATAAATAGTAGTATCATCAGCGAACAATGCCACCTTAGATGTGAGAATATCTGGAAGATCGTTAATGTAAATTAAAAAGAGTATAGGGCCAAGGATTGAACCTTGAGGAACCCCTGAGGTTACAGAATAAGAAGAAGAGTGCTGTCCATTAAGGACAACTTTTATTCTACGATTGGAAAGAAAGGATTCGATAATCTTAAAGATGTTTCCAGATACACTGTAAGAAGAAAGATTATGGAGGAGACCAGCATGCCAAACTTTATCAAATGGTTTAGAAATGTCAAGAGCAATGGCCTTAACCTCTCCCCCTTTATCTAATGCGCGATAAAACCTATTGGTTATTACTGATAGCAAATCAGCCGTAGAACGAGAAGATCGAAATCCATATTGATGATCAGAAAGTAGGTTATGAGATTCGAAATGAGAGATTAAGTGTTTATTTATTAAAGATTCAAAAACCTTGCTTATGATAGGAAGAAGACTAATGGGACGGTAGTTAGATGAATCAGATTGCTCTCCAGAATTTTTAAAAATAGGGATAACAGATGCTGCTTTTCAGCAGGCTGGAAAACAAGACTCTGATAAGCACTTGTTAAATAGTTTTGAAAGGATAGACGACAGCTCCGGAGAACACTTCTGCAAGACTATTACAGGTATGTTGTCCGGGCCGCAAGCTGTAGAAGAGTCTAAGCGGGAAATCACTTTAGATACAGAAGCTGGAGTGATATGAATGTCGAGCAATGGATCAACCTGTTTGACGGCTATATCAGGTAGAACGCAACTAGTGGAAACAAGAGATGATATTGATGAAAAGTTCTTGGCAAACAATTCAGCTTTGTCTTTAGGTGAGGTAACAAAGTCTGAACCATACAAAAAAGGTGGAATTACAGACTTGCCCTTATTATTGATACTATTAAAGATTCTCAAGAAGTCACAAGAGCCTAATTTTTGTGATGAAATACGAGATTTCATGATGTGAGAATAGCGGGCTTTGGCGTTAGACAAAACCTTTTTACAATGGTTCCTAGCAGTAATAAACAGACGTCTGTTTTCTGGAGAATTGTTTTGCTGATAGATGTGGAAGTAATGGTTTCGATTGGCAATTGCAGCAGCATAATGTGAGGAAAACCATAAAGAAGAGTGAGGCTTGACCTGGAATCGTTGAGAGGGAATAAAGGATTTCATGCCAGCCTGAATCCATGAAGTTATGTAAGAAGCACATTTGTCAACAGAGAGGCGAAAGATTTCTACCCAGGGGCCATCACGAAGAAAATCACTGAAAGAGTCCCAGTCAGATTTAAGGTAGTTGTAAGATGTACGATGATAGGGGGATTCTGATGACGAAGAAGAATGAGATAATAGTTTTAGAGAGACCAAACCATGATCAGACGCACCTAAGGGTGAGTGTGAAGAAACTGAGCACTGACTAGGATCAGAAACAAGACATAAGTCGAGTAGAGAAGGTAAATGATTCGGGTTGTCTGGATAGCGATTTGGAAAGTTGACTATTTGAGTTAGGGATTGAGAAAGGCAAAAGTTGTGGGCCTTAATGCCTGCAGAGTCACTGACACTAGAGCCAAGCCATTCAATGTGATGAACATTAAAGTCACTGACAACAACAATATTGGTGGATGGATAAAGAATGAGGGCTTGGTCAATATAATCAGAAATAACATCAAGAAGAGTGCAGTCTTGAGATGAGGGAGAGCGATATAGAACAAAGAGAAAGGTGATAGAGTGAAGTGGTGCTAAACGAAAGCACATAAAAGAGTAGTCTGTGGATTCAAACCTAGTTTCCCGACAAATGGGTGAATTCTTACGAATGTAAATGCCTAGGCCAAGCATGTGACTATTGGAGTCTTTACGAATTAAAGGAAGATAACCATCAACACTAAGATCACAAGATGAGACAGCTGAACTCAAATTAGTCTCACAAAGAGCAAGTAGGTCTGGTGATCTTTGCAAGAGATAAGAGATAAGAAAATTAGTGAATGATAGGTTTAGCGAACTTGGTGATGACTGTGGTTTTTTGTGTTTTATAGTTTTTGTTACTTTATTCATTTTTAAATTTGTTAAAGAACTTGACTCGAAACATAGATAGTACTCAGTACACTGTTTTATAGCTCAAGCCTCATTTCCACTAATAAACCCTAAGCCGTAACAAAAGGCTCTAATGTGGCCTTGGCATTGCACACCAAAAGTACAAACAGGGACACCATCCATGGGCAACATGGCAATGTTAGTACTCTGATATTTTTCAGCTGTTGATCGAATCAGCCTCCCTGAGAGCTACCACAGAGTTCAGGAAACCTGACTACTAGCCGGCCTCAGAACCATAAAACTGAGTATTAGAGCTGTACCCTCATTTGGAGATAATAGAATGAGTTGCCTAGTCATAAAAACAGAGACACAAACAAAACCCATGAATTGAGTCAAGAAGATCCAGCGTTCAACATCCTAAACTGGAAACAATGTATTAAAAATACATCTGCGCCAGCCTAATAGATGAAGAAGGGGTGCGAGGCTGGTCAACAGATAGAATCTGTTTACCCCTTAAGTCTTTGCCTAGGAGATCTTCTACAAGGCAGCAGTCGGATGCATGTAACATCTGCCCAAGATGAGGCTCTTGGTTGAGCAAAAGCTAGAGACACCATCTCTAGCCTTTGCTCAACCAAGAGCCCTAAGGCAGGGGGTGTTTTATGTTGGAGTTTGCATCTCCTAGCATTTGCCTAAAAAGGCATATCCTACAAGGCAGCAGGACATGAAGCAGATTGTACTGGGTTACATGTTACCAGTAGCAGGATAAAACCTGACCTTA